AGAGAGACAGAGAGACAGAGAGATATGATAGACAGGTATTCCTCTCTTCTCTACAACCTCCTTCATTTTCCTCATCCCTTTAATATAAAGAACTAACATGCTTAAATTTTTTTCTCCTTAATTTTTGATACAGTTGTTTTTGACATTATAGAGCTAAATATAAAGTTTAAAAAACCTGTTTGCACCCCATGATTATCTATTTTTCAGCTCTTTGTAAATTTTTAATAAATAATTACATTTTTCCCATTCTCAAAAGGATAATTTTAGCTATCTACTGTTTTGATGTCAGTTCTCTACTTTAAAACTCTGTGTATTGACAAGGATATTTGTAGATGGTATTGGTAGTATTTTTGACTCATATTACAGAAAAAATGTGCTAATATTATTACTATCTGCTTTTTGTATGATGAATAAATATAAGTTTCCAAGCACAAAAGTATCAATTTTATACTCTTAACATAATTTCACTGTTTAGAAGATTTACTCTCACCACTTCAACCTTAAAGCAGTTTTCTTTTTGTTAGTGTTGATATTCTATGGCAAATGTAAGCATATATATTGTTGGTACAGTGATTGAAAATATTTATTGATTAATGTTTAGTTAGTGCTCTTTGTAGAACATACTTTACTTATGCTGTCTTATCAAGTTAAATCCTCAAAACAAATCTGTGAGATAAATGCAAATATCTCCATTTAAAAGATAAACACATGGGATGTCTGGGAAATTAAAAAATTGTCAAAGTTTTAGTAGTTGGCAAAGCTATAATTTTAATCCAGATTGTTTTTAATCCCAATTTACATTCTTTTTTTCTACAATGCCTACTGCTTGCAGTGAGAGTAACTATTTATATAAGTCTTTAATAGAAATACTTGGAAGTTGCAATTTAAAGTAATTAGGATATTTGTGCCTTCTCCTTGTACATTGAACAAAAGGAGAATTTGTATCACAAGGCAACGATGCTGCGCTTTTATTTAGTAAGCTGTTTGTTTTCTGAGCATATTTTCTTTAGGCCTTTTATTTAGAAGACTTTGTGTGGATGTGTGCTGATGGTAAGGGCCTCTGTTTGTCCCTTTTGAGGGATTTGGGCTTCTGGCCAAAAGCAACTCCTGATTTTTCCATCCTGGGGAGCACTGAAGCTGCCCCCTTCTGTTAGCTTCTGGTTGAGATAGCAGGTGGTCCCAGAGCATGCGGGGAGGCCCTGACTTGGGCTGGCAGCTTCTCTCTGCTCCAGGGCACCTGCACTATGCCTGGACTACCTGTGGTTTGAAAACTGTTGTGTTGAAAGCGAAGCCTGGGCTGGGGTTCCATTTCCAGCTGCAAACCAGATTGCCCCAAAATTCATTCTCAAAAGCTTGCCATCATTTCTGCATTTCTGAGTGAAAAGTATGGACTTTTACTATGTTTTTCTTTATGTTTCTCTTCATATCCATTTTTGCTTTTCTCAGATTTAAAAACGGATAGTTCAAATTTACAAATTTAATTTTTGATTTGGAAGTCAACATTGTCTTATATGAATCCAGGCATATGAGTTTTTAAAAAAGATCTTATTAATTCACCACCATATAATAATAGTTTTAACTGAAAAATAAATATAGTGAAAGAAGACTCAATAATTATTAAAGTTGGCTGATGGGCATATTATAAATTCTTCCCATGTTTGCTTGACATTTTCTGTGCTAAAACATGAGAGACATGTTATAACATATTTACTCACTAATAATGATACATATCCCTTAAACTATTTCTATAAGTGATAGTTTTATCCAATGATTTTATTTTATTTATTTTCCTAATAAAGACTATTCTGGTATTAAATGCATCTGGATAGGTTAATCAGTGATTAGATCATTTAATGGCTCACTTGAATTTCTGAATTCACTCACATTAAATTAAACTTAATTAATTAATTTTTGTATTTTAGGGAAGGGTCTACAGGGTGTTCAGGGTCTCACCACTAGATCGGACTCATAGTGATCCACCTGTTTACATCCTCCCAAGAGCTGGGATACAGGTGCACAACACCTCATCCAGTCTCAATTGCTGTCTCAGTGTGCCACAGGGGTGGGGCTAGCACAGCAGGCTGGGGGATTGAAACCCTAGCCCCTTAACCTGCTTGCAGGTGCTTTAATTCACTGAGCTATTTGGCCGGCTGTCTCACATTTTATAGATTGTTTTTGAATTTTGTTTTTTGAGCAGCCAGTGTTCATTCTTTCAATAGAAGATTTTTAAACACTGTTTAATGTGGTCGCATTAAGAAATGAGTCTAGGGGGCCAGGGAGATGGCTCAGTGGAATAAGTGCTTCCCTAGCAGGCACAAGGGTCTGAGTTCAATCCCCGGTTCCGCCAAAAAAAAAAAAGAAAAAAAAGAAATGAGTCTAATAGAAATGTCTGGAGTGTTCATTTTAGTAGGAAGGAGACAAAATAAATAACTATGTATGGTAATGAGGTCTATGAAGGCAGTATAATTGAGTAAAGGGGATTAAAAGTGTGAAGTGACAGTGCTTTGTTGTGCAGATTAATCAGGGAAAGTCTATCTGGTGGCAATCTGGGGGATTCCAGACAGAGGAGTGGAACAGGCATCTGTGGGTGCTGGCAGGCTGAGCAGAAGGGTGCCACAGACATCTTCATTTGTTTACTCTGGCTGATAAATGGGATTTGGAGATAGCTTCATGTTTCTTTTGATACAGCCTTATTACTTATCAGTACCAAGACTGAAGAGCCCAAGAAAATATTTTTGTATTCTTTTGATTCTTGCCCCTGTCCCCTTCCCTCTCCTATTTCAAAAAGAAAAAGAAACTTGACACCTTTGAAAAATTGTTCTATTCTTGTCCAAATTTTGTTATTTCGATATTCTTTGAGAAAATATGTAAGTAGGACCTGGGGAGCCATGCTTCCCTCACTTTGTATGTTATCATGTGCAGATGTAGAGGAGCAGATGCTTCCTGGTGCCTGGGAGGTAAGTGACAAAGTGAATCATGCTAAGATAGAAAGGGGTAAGGAGTGGTGGAGGCTGCATAAAATTGGAGACTTCATGCCCTGTGTAAGGGAGAGATCTGTTTTCACCTCAGATTGTTGTATATGATAATATGGGCCTAGCTTTGAATGTATTTAAATTTTTTTCAACAAAAGATGTTCATGCATTTGCATATTATGTATTACTGCCTCATTTTTTTTTTTTCTTTTTGAGACAGGGTCTTGCTATGCAGCTCAGGCTGGCCTTGAGCTCACTTTGTAGCCCATGCTGGTCTTGGACTTGCAGCTACCCTCTGCTTCAGCCTCCCAAGTGTGCACCACCATGCCTGGCTGTTACCTCTTGTTTTTTAATTGTTAATAGCTAAATAAAATCACTTCAAAACATTCTATAGGTTAAACAAAGTAATTATGCAGGTGGGATCTGACCAGTAAGTCAGCAGTTAACTTTCTCTTGGTAAAACATAGTAATTCATTCTTCCTGTCTCCTTCAGGAGATCAGATAGATCTCACAGGAACACAGTGCTGCAAGATTTCTGGAAACGTGGCTTTGACACATTTTTGTACAATGGTGTTGGTGCACCTGTGTGGTTCTGACTGTGTCTCTTCTTGTTTCAGGGTATGGTCACACAGGTCCCATGTCGCAGCGAGCTGGTTATGATTCTATTGCCTCTGCTATTTCTGGCCTGATGCACATCACAGGCCCTGAGGTAGGTATCCTTCTAGGAATAATCATAATATTTCTCTTTATATGTTCTAGGGAAAATTTTCTCTTTACTAACCCATAGGATTAAACTTGAATTAATCTTAGAAGGAAACCAGGGAAAGTAAATGGCTTATTAAACTGAAACAGAAGTAAGTTCATTGCAAATGTAAGCTTCAAAATAACCCCATGGAAAAGTAATATTTTTAGCAATAAGCAATACATCAAGTGGTAAACACACTCTTTCGTATTTATTATATTGGTTAAGTTTAATCATTTTCGTGTGAGTTTAGGAATTTTTTTAATTTAAAGAGAAAAAACAAAAAAAAAAAAAACCAAGAACAAAGACAATAATGAAGTAACATAAACTTTAGGATTTTTTTTCCCCTGCAAAATAGAATGGCTGACTAGATAGATTATAGATGTCCATTTTTTTTTTTTTGGTGGTACCAGGGATTGAACTCAGGACCTTGATCTTGCCAGGCAAGCACTTATTCCACTGAGCTCTCTCTTTGGCCCTGCTAAATGTCCCTTTTCACTAGAGTGCCTGCATTTGCTAAACAAATATAGCTGAGGGTCTATTTTTTCCTGGAGATATTATAAATTTTTACATATTTAGAAATTTGTTACAAAGCTTTACATATAATTGAATCTGATTTTTCATATGTAAAGTATGTAGCAGGTCAAAATTTGGTGGTTAGATTAAAAAACAACTCATCATGAAAACAATAAAGTAAACAAAAAATGAACATGAAATCCTAATAAATAAAAATACTAAGGAGCATGTATTTCAAAACCAACTGGATTGGTAGTCTTAAAAACTTGCTTCAACATGTGTTCCTTCCTAAAATCACCTTCTTCAGTTAATTCTCTGGATGTGTTGATGAAATTTTGGGGTAAACCAAGGCAGGGAAACCACAACTCTTTGCCAGTTTTTAGGTTCCTGTTTAGAATTCAAAGCTGTTGTGTGGCTTTAGTGTCTTCAAAATACAAGTCTTTTGAACTCCATCCTCTGTTTTATTTAAGTCACAGAAATACAATTTATGTGGCTTTTTCTTAAAATGTTCAAGTTATCAGTTCTCTTCCCATCCATTGCAAGAAGGGAACATAAACAATGAACATCTCTCTTGGCTCCCAAGACATAATTATTGTGAGTACTTTTATTTAAGAGTACTGGACTCAATTTGGAATATGTGAAAACATCAGAGCCTTTTGTTTTTGTTACTGAGATGCTAAAATGAATGAAAAACTACTGAGATGAAGGATTGCTGTGGATTTATTAGTACACTGCACTGTGTTCTGACTGTACAATCACACAGCATGTGTTCAACCTTAGTTTACCAGTGGACAACAGCTTTTATCTCTTCTTGTCTTATGTTACTTGTATGATTTTTTTCTTTTAAATAGATTGTAAGTCTAATATACAGTATAAATCTTAAAACAAAAATTAAGATTAAGCAATATTCAGAAAATTAAATGCTAATTAAAAATTTAGTGTTTCAAAGCAATTCAATTAAGAAAAAGGTTTCATGATAGCAAAGAATTACTAGGAATAAAACATAAGATAAATGCTGGAATGGCAAATAAATGATCAGCACTGCTAACAGTTTGGGGATAGGATATTGCACAAAGTTCTAGTGTGTTGGGGACATGGATAATGTCCATACCACTTACTGGTGTCCAGGAGTCACTTGTAGGACTGAGCTACTGCTATTTCCTTGATATCCACCCTGTAAACCTGGACAGAATCATGACCCATAGAGTGCAGGAGAAGGCCATTTGTAGAGTATGCTGATGGAAATATCTTGCTGTTGTACACAAAAGAATAACTGAAAGACTGTTTTTGTTTACCTCTTATTCTCCTGTGTTTAATTGTTTGCCCTATTTGGTGGGCTCTTTCCATTCTCATTCATGGAGTTGTGGTCATTTTGCTTTCTCTCTAGAACATCTTTTAGTAGTCTGCGTAGGTTTGGCTTTGTCATCATGAAATTCTTAAGTTGTTGTTTGTCATGAAAGTATTTTACTTCTCCATTATACTTGAAAGAGAGTTTTGCAGGGTTTATCAGTCTGGGTTGGAATTTGTTTTCTTGCAAGACTTGAAGTACTTTGCTCCATGCTCTTCTTGCCTTGATGGTTTTTGAAGAGAAATCTGCCGTTATCCTGATGGGTTTTCCTTTATTTATTTATTTATTTATTTCATAATTTTTTGAGAAACAAATAGCAATGAGACAGTCTCAAATCAAATTGATGGGACAGTTTCAATAATTAACACATTGCATACATTCTTCCTAGTGGTTAATTGCTTTACAAGATGTGGACATGATATTCTATTTACAAACACCATTAGAACAAATCCCTCTATTCTTTAAGAGAATGTAACTATATATCTATCCTAACCACTTTGAATACACAGATACAAAATGGACATTCATCTGTATCCCCTTTTTTTGTTTAGTTCTATTATTTGAATATTATAGGTGTGTAAACTCAGCAAAATATTCTAAAAGAATCCAGTAGCCCATAATAGTTTTGGGTCTTCTGCTTGACTGGCAATGTCAGAAATTGTTGACCTGAGTCTCCTATAGCTCAACATAACAGCATGGCTTTACTTTTTATATTTTATTTTTATACTTTTCTGCTGGATGGTTAAGACCAAGGTAAAACAGGACCTATGCAACAAGAGTTGTAGCTTTTGGGTCTGATAAGGTCAGTAAAATCCCCTCAGGATTTATCCTGAGATCCTGTACCTCAGATTGTAGAACCTTTGTCAGTATCAGCCATGTGGATGAGTCACGGCCATTTCTTGGTCAGTGTGCTCTCTGTGAAAGCCTGAGAGAATGTTTTCTCTCCATGTGACTCTCCTTAGGCACACTCTACATCATTGATTACTTTCCTCTTTGGCCCCATAATCTCCTTGGTCAGAAAATTTGGGACACTACGGAGTTACATGATGTAACAGTACAAGTTCTCATATGTCCTGAGTCTTAATTGACCTTGGAAGGCTAGGGCCAAAATGTTGGCTTTGGGTTTTCCTTTAAACGTGATCTGTTTCTTTTCTTTAGTGGCTTTTAGTATACTGTTCATGTACATTTCTGGGTTCTTGATTATTATATGTCTGGATGTGGTTTTAATTGGGTTGATGTTATTTGGAATTTTATATGCTTCAGTTACTTGAATGTTAGATAGATTCCCCATATTTGGAAAGTTTTCTGCTATTACTTCCTTCTGTATTATTTTTTATCATTTGTATTGATTCCTTTCTTTTCATTGTTGCTTATTAGTCTCATGTTGTTCGTCTTTGCATCATCTTGCAGGTATTGAATTATTTTTTCCTGCGTCCTAGTTGTTTTTAAGAGATCTTTTCTTACTTTTTCACTAGCTGCAATTGTGTCTTTAAGGTCTGAAAGTCTACTTTTACTTTCATTAAAATGGTTTTGCCAGCTTGTGATTGAGGTTTTAAATTCCTGTATATCACTTTGGAACTGCTTCATGCATTCTGTTTCTTTCCTATATTGCTTATTCAAGGATTCCATCATTTTTATATGCTGCTCTATTTTTATCAGTGTTTTTAGAAGCACTTAGTATTTTTTTCAGTATAGTTTTTTTTTTTTACTTCAGAAATTATTTCTGATTTGATTTCCTCTATACCTTTCTGCAGTTGTTTCTTTACTTCTGACACTATTATTTCAGAGATTTCAGGTGTGTGATTTCCAATTTCTTCTATGCTAGTGTTTTCTGTATTTGTTGTGGGTGGGCTCAGGGCTTGAGGCTGCATTTTGTTCCTTCTTTGTCATTTTTGTATGCCACTGTTTTCTGACCTTTGGTGTAGAGCTTAGATAGAGTTATTACCTTAGCACCAGGTCCAGATCTATGAAGTTCAGATTCCTCCAGGTGGGTGTAGCTTGGGTCTGGCTACTGTGCTCCACTTCTTCCTGCTGCAGCACTTGGAGGTGAACCATCTGTGCCATTCTGGCAAGATGTTCTACTCCTGAATCAGCTGGGTTCATCTTGCCTGTAGTCTCTTTGCAGGGAATTCTTTTGGAGGTTTAACACTGGGCCTGGGCTATTGGTTGAATGAGAATCCGGTGGCCCCGGGTCATTTCACTGCCATGTTGGGCCTGCACTCTGGGTCAAATGAGGATCAAGCAGGCCCTGGGTGGTCTCACTCACATGCCGGGCCTGGGCTCTGGGTAGAATGAGGATCTGGCAGGCCAGGCTTGCTCTCTATGTTCAATGAGGATCAGGCGGGCACCAGATGGTCTTACTCACATAATGAGCCTATGCTCTGGGTCTGTACGATTTTTATTTAAGCAAATAATAATGTTTATTGAACACTCAGTAGGTGCCATACATTGTTTTACATACTACAACTATTAAATAATAAACTAGATAATAGTTTATTTCTACTCAATCCATGTTATAGTGTTGTTATGTAAGATTCATATTTGCTAATGAACATAAAGTCTGATTTTGAGTACCTAGACCTTGATAGATGTTTTACTAATGTTATTATCTCCTTATCCTCATACTGCTCTTATCAGGTGAATGTTACAATATAGAGAATAGACCACTTGGCATAGTGACCCAGCACTGCACCAAGAGTCAGTGTCCCTGATTCTAATTCACTCCTGTTTAATGTTTACTGACTACCTAAAATGGGCCTGTCTCAGTTACTTTTCCCTCACTCCTGGAACTAAATACCCAACACCCAAAATTAAGGAAAGAAAGCTTAATTTATCTCATAGCTTAAGGAGGTTTCAGTCCATAGTTGGCTGTCTGCAAGGCAGAGTGGCACATGGTAGAGGGCAACAATTCATGGCAGTGGAAAACAGCAAAACAGCAAGAGCAAAATGGCAGGAGCAAAAAGGTAGCAGCAGCAGCAGCAGCAGCAACAACAACAACAGAGAGGCAATCCTGCCTCCCTCCCTTACATTGCATTCAGGTTATCTGTCCTAGGGTGGGTGTAGCACTCACACCCATAATTGAATCATGAATTAATCACAAACT